ATATACTGGATGACCTTTTTTACCGCCTGGAAAAAATAGGGTGTAGGTAACAACTATACACTGACCATAATAAACCTAGCAGCATTAAGATGGTTTTTGACGCTGGTATTCTGTAAGACCGTGGTCCTTCTCCGGTTGAAGCCAGCTGCGTGCCCCAACCATATTATAGCTTCTACGCGATTCTATCACGTATGTATATGTACTTGTTAAAAAATTATGATTTTCAATTTTAAATTTAGCAATCGCTTAAAGCTCTTCAATTTTGTTTTGGGAAAATTCCTGCAATTATAGTCATACATCAACGAATAATTGATATATTTATTTGAACTTCTTTATGATGACATAGATATGTTTATATATTAACTAATGAAAAAAATACTCCTTCGCTTTGTTTACAATTTTTATTCAATCCATGAAGGCAAAATTTAGAGATCAAAAGTCCACTTCTGAAGATACGTCTCCATAGGTTGCCTCATAAGGGAGATATTACCCAGTTGGCACGCTTGGCAGGCGGCTTGGCAACCGCAGTTTTTTATTATTTTGAGTTACTATCAGGAAAATTTTCTTTCACCTGGTTCAATTTCTCTCTGTCACGTCTTCGCTATGTAAAGGCCCACTCACGGTTACTAATCGATCGTCTTATTTAGTTGAGTTATATTTGTATGGTGTTTTTTATTATACGGTGACGTCGTTTATATACCGACAAGAATTTTTAATGTGACAGAATATGTTAAAAGCAAATAATAAAATGTTTGCTTCTCTTAGAAGAGAAATGTATAAGTAATAAAATCTCGAAAGAATATTAATATAATAGATTACAATGGCATCGATAAATTTATAGGGTTATAGGAATAAAACATGGCATATTGCATGAAGTAAAATTTGAATTATGTATGAGTGCACGAGTAAGACTCAAGTTGGAATGCACACAATATAGCCAAGAACGTTTGCACGCGGTACTTTATTATCCATATGCAATACGAACGCCTATTTAATGAGAACTACAGCACAAGTTCAATTTAAAAAAAGAACATATCGTTAACTACGTTTGCTTACTTTAAACTAATATTGAAGTACACTTAATTTACTATTAACTCGGTTTCACAAACAAATTAGCTAGTTTATTTGTTACTTAATGAACAAACCGATGGAAGACTGTTGTGATATATTTATTCAATATTTGTCGGTAAACATTTGTTTGATACATTATTCATAAACAGTTCAAGGAGAATTATAAAAGTTAGTCATTAATTTTCTGTATAGTTTTGCACAAATAGAAAAATAATATTAACTTTCATATATCAAAAACGTTAAAATGTAATTGGGCATAGGAACGTATTACCACTGTTTTAATAAATATTTCGATAAATGTTAATAGTAATGTGACAAGATCACGCGATTTCAAAGTGTAATTGATGATACCATGAAGGAATCCTAGTAGTATGTAGATTTATGCATCGGGATAGTTAGAGTTTTATTGGTCATCGAAGGCGATAAGCTTAAATATGAAAAACGCTCTTTCAGATAAGCTGGGGAACAAGGATTGTGAAGAATACCATACAAGGTGGTTAGAAGGTGTGTGTATCGGCAAAAACGGATGTCGAGCCACTTAAGTCTTGAGCGAAATTGTGATATATGATCAAACTTGCGCAGGCCAAAAATATAGCGTATGCACATATTGAGCAGACGGTTGAGTTTGCTAAGCAGCTCCTCAGTTATATCTGGATAGGCAATATCGGCATAATCAAAAATAGGAGCAACAGAGAGTTGACTAGCGTAACCTTGGCCGTCTGAGGAATAAAATAATAATAATCGACATCTTTGAGGAAGATTGACTATCACAGAACCAGATATGAGCTTTCTATATCTATATGTTTAGAGTATTGTACAAGTAGCATATATACGAGATGGTACTCGTATATTGCCGTAGTGATGATTTTGAAATCGGTAGGTACTTGTAATATACTGGATGACCTTTTTTACCGCCTGGAAAAAATAGGGTGTTGGTAACAACATGTAAACGGAGTAGAATCCTATGTCACTGATATTTTACAAAAAATAAAAACAAAAATTTGGAATTAAATAAATAAATTAAAATCTATCGAAATTCAAATGATATCCACCCTACTTATCGAACGGCAATAAAACAATAAATTTAATAGGCATCTTTGACCTTTTCATTTCGCAGGGTCACAGGCACAAGGGCAAAGGGCAAAGTAATTGTTAAAAAAAATTCTGACGTTAAATTCAAAATGTTTGTTTTCCAAATGTTTCTGATCCCTGTTCCCATTACTTGTTACACTCTGGATTTTTCTCTAGACGGTAAATAAACTGTATACTGATATAACTGTTATAAACTATTAACAATTATTTCATTTTTGTAATATAAAAAATACCTTTAACGCAACTGCCTGCCAGAGCCAGAAATATACCCAGCATCGCGCTATATAACTTTTAAAGAAATTTTATTGTGGCGTTAATTACACACCATATCGCGTATTAACTAATTAGTGTATTAACGCATCTGCATTTTGATTCTTAATTGAGGGTAGATGTCTATGGGGCACAGCATCCACTTACCATAAGGTGGACTGTGTGCTCGTTTGTTACCCTTATTCTATAACAAAAAGCTTAGTGATATTACATATTGCCTAAGATTGAAAGATGAGTTAAGAACAAAACGCATATGTTAACAGATATAAGTAAACATTAGTCAATTACAAGATTTCGAATAAATGAGCCGCATGTGTAACATCATTAACATTTTATTACAGTCCGTTAAGATTCCATAATACGTTTAAAAATAATCTTATGTCTTCCGATACGAGGTACCGCCGCATTACGGTCACAAAAGGACAGGCAAATATGTTGTACATACACCAACATAACACACATAAATTAATTAAAACTACTTTCAAGGATTTTATCGCGATTAATTTAATTATTTTTTAATACCCGACGTTTCGGGTGCTTTCCAGTCCCCCGTGACCATGGGTGCTGGAAAGCACCCGAAACGACGGGTATTAAAAATAAAATAAATAAAACGCGATAAAATCCGTAAAAGTAGTTTTAATCAATGTATAGTGTTCGCGTAAATATAAGAATACATTACACTTAAATTATTTATTAACATAGCATTTTTATAAAATTATTATAAATAAAATATTTTCATGGGCGGCGGTAGTCACTTAACATCAGGTGAGCCGCATGCTCGTTTGCCCCCTCTTCTATATAAAAAAAAAAACATTCCGCTGCTGTAGCCACAACCGTGCAATGCGATACTCGAAAAAATATGGGCTACTTGCTTGAGGTGTATTCCGACGGAGTTGCCGTTTTATAAGCCCATGACTATACACAAGAAGCATCTTTTTGACAGCAGGTTATAAAAATAAAAAAAAACTGTAGTTTGGAACCCGTCTGCAAGGCGTTGCAATTTCGGCAATTTCCACACTATGAGGTAATCTGTGAGGAAGGCCTATGCAGCAGTGTACTTTTAAAGGTTGTTAAGGATGATGGGATGGATTATATTTCGTTAGCAAAGGAATTATATTTTTCATTCCTTAAAATGTGTTTTTAACATAATAATAGGCGTGCAAAATTAAACAGTAGAAGCTGACTTCAAAGAACTAAAAGGAATAAATTTTTTACATAATAGCTTCATAAGTCATTGTAAAACATAATGAGTATTAAATCCCCGACTTCGGAAGCTATTTTGTGATGTCTTAAAAAATTTAAGTCTTTGAAGTCTGCTTTTACTTTTTATAAAAGTCTTACATTTTACGTTTTTGAGTGGACTTAGGAATACTACAAGCTCGAATGTCATCTTTATAGATGAAAACGAAATATCACTGACTTACTCAATTATCTCGAGATCTCCAAAAATATACCCTTTTATACTGACTTGAAATATGGCATAAAAACCCCTGAGGGGGTGAAATAGGGTGTTAGAGCTTGTCAGTAATAATTTCATGACGATGTAAATATTATATTGCCTTTTATAGAATTGGCATCGTGCATAATATGCATACAATGTTAAAGCTACAATGGTTGTTTATAGTTGTATATTGTATTATATCAAATTTTGCAGTCCTCGTTCGCCAGACTAACAAGCTCGCTCGTTACTTTTGTCACCACCACATGATGTCGTTTGTCGCACACACGCTTACACATTTTTATTTCTTTTCATCATTCACGGCAATTTGTCATTACGCTATCTACAATTTAACACGCTCCAAGTTCGTAGATCACAAAAAGGCTAATGCAACTTTGTCGTCTTTTCTACCTCTCGTGCGTTAGTTGCAGGCACTAAATGACATTTCTTGTGCTTATGGTGGATTATACAACGCGATGTCTGAAGAAAATTATCTTCGAACAATTTAGTTTTTATTTGAGCATTAATCATTTTGTAGTCGACGCAATTTATGATTTGTACTATTAAAGTTAGGTATTAAAATAGGTATTTTATAAGAGGATTCTATCTTTAAAGGCATTTTATCATCTGTCGTTTCACAGCCCACGCCTTCTGCCCCAGTTTAACGCAGAAAAATGTTTGGCACTTGATGACGTCAACTGGGAGTTGAGTTTACGACCACTTCTGACTATAACAGTCCTTTTTTTCCTTCATTCTGTATATTGAAAGAGAAAAATTATATTTTTAGAAAAAATTTTAGACTAAATTGCTAATTGCTATGTATAAAAGACTTAATAACTCTTTTTTAAACAGTAACAAAATGTGAATGGTAAACATTATTTAATTTAAAATAGCAGTGACACAATATTTAGTTCACTACTACATTGTTATCATTCAAAATTAAATGTTTGTAGTCCGCATTGCTCCAGTAAATTTGTTTTCTATTCCATTTCCTCTCCATAATTGTTCAGGAAAGTCTGCGCGCCTTCACATCTTTACAAAGAATAAACAGTGACCCAAGAAAACAAAAAATTATAAACATTCAGCCTTAATGTCTGGTTTATTAAATAGTCCGTGTTGATCTTTCCAGGTATAGAATACCTTTACGAAAACGGACTGTTACAAAGGACACCTGAGGATGTGGCGCAATTTCTTCATAAAGGCGAAGGTTTAAGCAAGACAGCGATAGGAGATTACTTGGGAGAGCGGTCGGAATTCAACGAGGCTGTCCTTCGGGCGTTCGTAGAGTTGCACGATTTCACGGATTTAATACTAGTACAAGCGCTAAGGTTGGTAAGAATAATATTTTTATTTTGTTATAACTTTGTTCATTTGTGTTGTATGATGATACTAGACTAACCGTCCACGTTATATTCATAGAATACTATAATACATACATAATAGAACGGGGGGAGTGGGCGGAGGCAGTGTCGCCACTAACATGTCAATTCACACATAAATGTCAACACATCTCTTTTGACGTTACAATAGTTTCCATTTTTCGTGTCAAGCGTCGCTGCATGCAAATTATTTGAAAATGCTAAATTGCACATTATTTACAAATAAATATGTACTAAAATTTAAACGATTTTTTAAAATGATGATCTTGAACATTAATCAAAAGTCGAGAATGTGTCTCACAACTCAGTACTAGCTATAATACGACATAATTGCTTGTATGTGTGCTCCCAGCGACGCTGATCCTCGTACAAAATAAGGTTGACAGCCATTTCATTGTGTATTAGTTTCTTGTTAGTATTCTATGGTTAGAGTACATAAGAAATGCCTGAAAAATCTTCTCTATCTGCAGACTGCTCACAAATTTCAAATATTCTAAATTTATTTAATATGGCTCGATCTAAAACTAAAATACGAATCTTAGAATAGACTCAAGTCAGTCGAAGTCTAAGAAGAAAGGCAAGCTTTTATAGTAATTTTGTAATTGTTCAAAACTCAAAACTTTCATTACGGCGCGGCGACGCGACACTACTGAAAACAATCCATTGCAAAACAATGAAGTAGAAGCTTTAATAACGATGTATGAAGTTGCTTGCTTTTTAAATTAATCATTGATTTCTTGACTTGTTTTAAAATTTAGTTTAAAAAACATTAAGTACGGATTCGAAAATATTTATCTAATAATAATAATTCTCAAGTAACAAGTAAAGAGCATGAAAAATCCAGTGTCAAGAATCTTAAAAGCATAATTTTAACTACCAATTTATACTTACTTCATATGTCTAAGGGTCGTTTTTTAATCATCAAATAAATGAAATGTTTTTCATAGGGTAAAATACGACCCAAACAAATTAAAGGTTACAGTTGTATGAATAAAATATCAGTTAAAATTTATTTTATTGATAATAACTTATTTATTTATTTTATTTATTTATAACAGGAAAACTTACAGCTTTTAATTAATACTATATGGTATATAATATAATTTACAAAGTAAGCCTATTAAAAGTTTTCACAGATGTTTTGTAAGTTTGAGGAAATACATGCAACATATATAAGTAGATATAATTTATACATTGGTGTTGATTAGATTTAAGAGTTCAAGAGTAAATTGCTACTGAATTCAGATGTTATCAATTTGCAGATAGTAGTAACACTAGTAGAAAAGAGGTCAGCCTTATCACAGTCCTTAGAAAATTTATTAAATGAGTTACATGCTCTTAAGAAGAATGAGTTTCGCCTGTAATTTGATCTACATAAAGAAACATGTAAGGGATTGTAATAGCGCAGTGAACGAGAGGGAACTGAGATATGTAATCTTTTTTAATAAGTCAGGGCAGTCTAAACGATCTTGAGCAATTTTACTTAGTAAGACCAGGTCAGCTGTATAACGCCTAGTTTGCAGCGGGAGGAGATGAAGATGAGAACACTGCAATTCGTAGCCTCCTTTGGATATATGAAATTTAGAACCTACATATCGAATGAATTTTTTTGAATCGCTTCGATTTTGATAATAACATAACGATTGATAAATCGCCCCTTACTTATGTATATTGGCTTAGAGCTGCCGCACACTGAGCCACTAGTGGCGGCCACAGCAAGGCCACTAGTGGCTGCCACAAGTTGACAACATTTTTCATAAATTTTGTATAACATTGCATCGGTGCAAACCGAGCGTCCAAGTGCCGCTCTGTCTTCATGATTATTTAATTCATAAAAGTTATATGGTATTATAGTTTTATCATGAATAAAAATATTCTATTATTTGTCGTAAAGATTTTGGATAAATTGCAAAATCGAAAATTTAATATTAAAAACACTGGCTACGTAGCCACTGAAACAATTTCACTCTTCAGTCCAGACAATTTTTACAAAGACCTCAAAGCTATTTTATAATAGACTCAATTTTATCATCATCAGAGGCCATTAAGACAATTACAGCCTATCAAAAGACCATAGATTCCCTATTAAGTCGTAATCGTAATATTTGCTATAGTTACGTGGTCTTACGTGGTAGAGCTATGCTGCAGTTATATTAGTAGTATAGTTGTAGCACGAATGGGTCGGCTCGACCGGGGAAGGACCGCGCTCTCACAGAATACCAGTGTCAAATAGTAGCGTAATGCTGCTGTGTTTAGTATGGTGAGTGTAGAGAACCGGATAATCTTTTTACTGGAAACGAGGCATTCCATAAGTCCACATGACACAAACAAACAAACACTCGTTTGTCATCCTATCCTATGAAAAAAAATAAGCCACGCATGGCGGGCGCGTTGGAAACCGCTTTTTTTTGACCAAAACAATTAATATGGGAATTACATTTTTTAAAGGAAGTACATATCTCGCATTTTAGTTCAGAATTAAGGACGATAACATGAATAATCGATGTATTTATGGGTTTTTCCTGCTTTAGTCACAAAAAGTAGGTATATGTTCTGCCTGCGCATATCCTGTTTGTGATAATGTCCGAGCGTGTCCTTTGTGTTGTAGCGAACATTGTAAAGTTTAATAAAAAACAACATAACATGATAACTATAAAATATGAAAGCAAAGTGAATAAGTTAGATGGCACGCTAATTTTCTGCCTTGGAGTCCGTCTACGAAAGTACCATCCTCTTGTTTCTGCCAGAGTAATGCTTTTTTAACTAATAACTATTTACATCTAATTTGATAAAAAAATTTTATTTAAATTTTACTGAATCGAATTTTGTATTACTTTTTGTTTATCGTTAACATCTATGTATATGTGTTATATATCTCGTGACTTTTTATTCTTAAATCTGTCATAAAATTGTAATTAAACATAGATTATTCATATAACATTCGTATAAAACTAGACCTACGTTTATAAAATTAAGTATTTGCGTGCTGCTGGCGAAATAAGCTTGTACTATCCTTAATCATTCTTTCTGTAACTACTGCAAATAAATTATTATTATTATTGTTTAAAAAGTTGTTAGCTGATGTCGATGAGTTACAGTAACCACTATACTATATCTAGTAGTAACTACTATACTATATCTGGTGGACTAAAAGTTCGTTTCTCTCTTCCGTTTCATAAAAAATATGATATTACCGTAGTTATTACTTTACTGTAGTTATGTTACCAGCTACAGTAAAGTTTAATATCATATTTAAAAAAACATTAATAAGATAAGGTTAGCTATGGTAATACTTTTATCCGTTTTATACATAATATATAATTTATGAATTGCTATAATTAGATAACTTACACTACAATTTTAGCCCCCATTGGTTAAGTTGAATAAACTTCCTCAGAATTATTTCCATAAAGTAAAAAGTACCAGGCTACAAAACTAAATGTATGTTCCACTGTTGATCACAAGCATTCTCTCATTTCTGGGAGGGATTTGGCATGAAACAATCCAATCTTAATCTTGAGGGATATGCCTCAATTTTCGTGTTGGCAAACTTTTTGTTGGTTGCCCCTCACAAGATTTTACTCCAACCCCGATTTAATAGTAAATCAGCAAGTTCTATAGCTTTGCTTATTAACATTTTTCATTGGTGCCGGTACGGACCGAAATCGGTTTAACGGTCGGAATTTTCATAAATAAATTTAAATTATATGGTTCAAACGTCTATCAATATAACAACTCTTTTTATCTATAACTGTTGGTATTTTGGTTAAAAGAGATATCTGTTCGGAAGTGACCATGACGTCACTTATCAGGAAGTAGAAAACCGATAACTGTGTAAATGAACGGCTGTACTTAGCAACGAGCTTAAATGTCTAAAACAAATAATACGTCACATTACTATCGCAAACTTACTACTCTACGTATTTTTATGACTCATAGAAATATGTAATTGTCTGTTTAGTTTTGAAAATTGTTTCTATTTAATATTTCATTTATAATATTTTTTTTTACCTTTTTAAACTTTAGTTTATTAAGATTTGGTAAAACTGATGTAGGTTATTATGATAGAACCTCAAGGAACAATAATCAATAATTAATCAAGGTAATAGTTTAAGAGATTTAGGTACTACAATTTTTTCAGTGTGCCCCTAAAGCTCTTTCTTTACTTTTGCAACTCGAATTCGGTACCTCTAAGTAGTAGTCATACACAAAATCAGTCAAGCAAGCAAGCAGCAAGTCAGCGACATATCCAATTAGATACGAATCTCTCTTGTATTATGTTTAAATGTAAATTTTTCTTTAAATCATTATCTTCTGTTGATTTTGACAGCAGTTTAGGTGTGTGTAGAGCCATGCCTCGTATGTATTAGTAGTATAGTTGCAGCACAAATGGGTCGGATCGACCGGGGAACGCCCACATTCTCACAGAATATCCGCGTTAAACAGCAGTTTAACGCTGCTAAGGGTCTCTAGGGTTAAAAACGAGGCATTCCGTATTAGTCTTAACGGGTGAGAACGCATCATTTTAATTCGTAACCGAGGATAAATGTAGATGTGTATGGGCCACATCAGGTGAGCTGTGTGCTCGTTTGACACCCTTATGCTGTAAAAAAAGTTTAATTCTTCTTGTATGGTACACGATCGCTAGTCCGCCATGCAAGCAACACAGTAATTACGGCTAATCCTCTCATATTGAAAGCAGCTTATTTTTAACTATGTTGACTATTCGCGAACTGTCGATCGACGAACTTTGAGACACACTGTCACTTATTGCTTGTGTTTTATACTGTAGAATCATTATACCTGGTTAATCGTAATGTATTTTCCTTGATTATGTCTGAAGTATATTAAAGTTATAAGATACTTCAGGCGGCGTAAGATAATCCATATAACAAAGTACACATTACAGTACATATTAAAAAGATCTTATGACTTCCGGTAGATGCCAGTATTACGGCGACGAAGAGCCAGCCAATTATGGTGATTTAGGTTCAGGCCTTGGCACTCGCTGTAAATTTCACAGTACGCGAGCAACCGGGGTTCGATCCCCGCCAGCACCAATAAAATTGTTAATTGCAATTACACGTGCTGATTTACTGCGTGCTCGGCGGTGAAGTAAAACATAGTTTGGATACCGGAATGTCTGAGAAATAAAAAAATAAAAAAAGTATATTTCTTGGACATGTTAAGTCCGCCAACACACATTGGGGTAGCGCGGCGGACACTTCGTTGCCCTAAAACCCTCTCAGAAGTGAGAGGAGGTCTGCGCCCAACAGTGACAGCCCAGCAGTGGGTCGTATATAGGCTGTGATCTCACTTTGTTTTACTTTTAAGCAAAAACAAAACAATGAGAGAGGCGCGTGCTCAGCACTTATAGTAACTAATTATAAAGTCGTCTTTATGCAATTTATTTTAATTACAGACAATTCCTTTGGAGCTTTCGACTGCCGGGTGAAGCCCAGAAAATCGACCGTATGATGGAATGTTTCGCACAGCGGTACTGCCAACTAAACCCGGACATATTCACGAACGCGGACACTTGCTACGTTTTGAGCTTCGCTATAATAATGCTCAATACTTCATTGCACAATCCCAGTGTGAAGGATAAGCCCTCACCAGAACAGTTCGTCGCGATGAACCGCGGGATCAACAATGGCGGCGATTTGCCTCAGGAGTTGCTCTTGGTACGTATATTTAATTTACTGGAATACATTGTCATTAAACATTTTTTAAGGTTCTCATAGTAGTGATAATCCTAAACAAAATATTGCTTTGTATATTAAAATTAATAAAAGTATACCAATTTTTCACATCCGTAACTGAGCAGTCCCAAATATTAGACGTCGTTCCACGTGTAGATTTAGGGCCGTACTGTTAAGTTTTGCGGTCAAATAATACATATAGCCTTTGCACTAGAACTTTTGATCAGAACAATTATAATTTGGATTTACAATAGGCTATTTTAATACATTAAAATCGTATAGCGCTAAAGATATTACCCAAAAATAAAAACAAAGTTCTCTCTGATATCTGCAAAAGATTGCTATGAATTTAGTAGTTTTTTAAAAACAATTCAAGTTTTCCTTCATCGAAATTGGTTAAATTACAATATAAACTTAACAACCATTTAGACGTGGTATGGCCACATTGCTTGTATTATTTGGTATCACAGACAATAGTAGCGCAGAACAGCAGTGTTAAACAGCAACATAACGCCGCTGTGCTTCGTATGGTGAGTGACGAGAATACAATGCTCGATATACTGGTAAACGAGGCATTACTATGTATATGTTTATGGGCTCCAACATCTATTACCATTAAACATATTGTGTGCTCGTATTTAAGACAAAAGTCAAACGTTAAAAATTTTAAAATATGAATAACTCGACAGGCGTCGCGACGGCTCTATATTATTTAGTTTGTATGATTGCCTTATATATAATGGACGACACACACGATCAGTTGAACTGATCAGTTCAAACTAGGACTGTTGATATTATTTAAAATATCGGATTTTCGATATATCGATAAATAAACATATATATATAAAACTCCGATTTTGATATATTTATAATTATCGATATATCGAAAATCCGATATTTTAAAAAATATCAACAGTCCTAGTTTGAACCGATCAGTTGGAATGATCAGTTGAACTGACCGTGTGTGTCGTCCAATAGACTAATAATATAGGAATATGTTTCCAACTTTCAATAAAATTGAATTTGCAAATTACCAAGAAACTTTTTTAATTATGAATATGGTTATATAATACAATATTACAAAACAAAATCACTACCGATTAACAATGATTTTGATTAGAATTTTTTTCTGAACCTTTTAGTGTAGTAGTCACTTGTTCAGGTTGTAAGCTTGCTTAGGTGCTTATATGGAATGCAATCCCATAAGAAAATTTCATTGCACGGGTTCCACGTATTTACTGGATCCCGCATGGTCAGTAAGACTTCGCAATTAAATTATGAACAAGTTCAACATTTTAATAACGTTCTTCAAAGGCAATTATTATTATTTTATAGAAAGATTAGAAGATAATAAACATTATTTTGAAAGTAGGTCCGGAAAAGCGTTAAAGTATTGATTGTGTCTTCAACTAAATTAAAATGAATTTCGCTTCTCGTCGACCCCGCCAATCCCGCGCGGGATCCCGTTCAATTCACGACTGCAATTAGTCCCGTACATTGCATGCCGCGCTTCCGGTATTTCGGGATTCTGATATCCCGGTATTCTATTCCCTAGGTGTTTAGAAGTATTAAGAATTGACGTGTTCGCCTTTTAACCCCTTAATCCTCTTAAAATTCCCATGCAGTCGCACGCGTTCGTCAAATCCCGAGCGGTCGCATGCGACCGCACCCACCCACAGTACTTTAAACCATTAAAACTTATATTTATAGCCTACTTTTCTATAAAGAAGTTTGGCATTATAGAATCTATAAGAAATTCTCTATCCTGTGGTCTTAACAAAAGTCAGTTACTCTATGTATTTTATTTTTATTCTCCTGTCAATTTTCCGACCATACGAAAATGGCGCAATTTTACGGTAGATTAAAAATAAAAATTCATAGAGTAACTGACTTTTGTTTAGACTATAGAATGGCCAATTTCGTATAGATTCTATAATGCCAAACTTCTTTAAAGAAAAGTAGTCTATAAATATAAGTTTTAATGGTTTCAAGTGCTGTGGGTGGGTGCGGTCGCATGCGACCGCTCGGGATTTGACGGACGCATGCCAAAAAACTTATATTTATAGACTACTTTTCTTTAAAGAAGTTTGGCATTATAGAATCTACAAAATTCTCTATTCTATAGTTTAAACCAAAGTCAGTTATTCACTACATTAATTATTACAAAAATACTTTATTGTATTTTGATAACTAGTAACTACATACCAAGCGAATGTCGGTAGCGTGAAAATTACTATTATTTCTATACATTACTCGAAATTATTTACGTAAAAAGATAATTTATATTTACGCAAAAACTTTCATAACAATTTTATAATATAAAAACCTGTTCTTAGAAAAATCCAAAAATCAACGCAACAATGTACAACAACGAACACTCGAAATTGACGTACTTTGAATGTACATTATAAATGTATAACTATAGACTAACTTTTTTATTCAACTAGAGGATAGAAAATTTTATATTGATTCTATAATGCCAAAAGTAGTCTTTAAATATAAGTTTTTATAGGTTATAGTGCTGTGGGTGAGACCGCTAAGTGATTGAGCGGTTAAGTGACTATATATTTATTTAATGTGTCTGTATGCGATTTTATTAAGTCAAAGGGTGAATCACCAGATAGATATGTATTGTATGTTTAAATTTTTAAAGAGTCGCACGCTTCTGCAAACTGACAGATAACGATTGTTGTAAATGAATTAATTGCCTACTGGTTATTGTATGTAATAAAAAAGTACTCGAACTAGAAACGAGAACTGTTATTTGAAAAACCTACTACATTGGAGAGAATATTAACTTTATTTTTAAATTTATTAAATTATATAATATCATATTGCATTCTTACTTTTGAAATAATTGCCATTTTATATAGAAAACGCTACAGTAATACTAGATACCAGAATCTATTAAAGGCGTTTTTTACCGCCTTCCGGGATTTGAAATTTGTTGGTTGTTAATCAGTAGGAGCAAAGTATGGCGAGTACAGTGGATGTCTGGACATTCAGTTGTGCAATTTGGATGGATGTTGTCGTGGAGAAGTACTAACCAAGAATTATTGATAATAAGCCTTGGATATTAGATAGCGAGCTCGCCCATTATGGTTTGCAGTAATTATAGTTTGCAATAATGCTTGACATTATACCGCTGCAGCAATACGTATTAGGGCTAGGTATATTTCAAGACCATTACCGTTACAGCATATTAAAATTCACTGCTGAACATAGGCCAACGAGGCCATAGTTGTTTTTATTTTTAGTCGCTATGAGAAAGACACTGCTGGCCATCTCCTGATCTGTTTCCCTCTGTCGCGTCTTACGACACCCGCGGGATGATATGGGATAGTGGACATTCTTACACCGCCACTACACAGATATTGTAAGTAGCTGTAGTGATTAATAGTTACATGGAACTCAAGGGTGCTGGGAAGGATTATAGACACCAGAAATATTTTTAAATTATTCTTTTCAGTTCACGCGGTAAGGTTATGGAACTCACTATCGTCTAATATAAGAAATTCCGAAACTTTAGTGGTATTTAAGAAACGTCTTAGAGATAACTTCTTTGCATCCTGTTAATTAATATTTATTATTCTATTATATTAGTATTAGTTTATATATATCATATGTAACTATCGTATTTATTATTTCTATGTATTGATTTATTTTATTTTTTATTTTATATAATTTATGTACGTAACATTTTGTATATTATTTATTTATTAGTAGTAGTAAAGTGTGCACTAAGTTTGCCATTTAAATATAATTTCCTTAATGGGTCTACTGGAAGATATTTTAGCAAATTATGGAATAAGTAGAACCTTTGTACGAACTTATGATAAGACTGCTTCTGTATCTTGATGTGTACATAAATAAATAAAATAAAAAATTAGTTATTCGGTGGTAGAACTACTTCTCCTGCCTCTAGGGTCCGTGTGGGTTGGTGTCACCCTTTTACCTATTAATGCCGCCAATGCTTGCCCTACTGTGTTCCAAAGTCTATAAGTTCTGAAAGCCAGTACTTATAATTATAGACTGTGAGACATTCCATCTTACTCCGAGGAGACAACGCATTTGCAGTCCTCTTTGTTTGAAGTTATCTGCAGGTGACATAAAAATATAAAATAGGGCGGTAAAATATGATTCTTTAGTACGACAATTTCCCCTAACTTTTAAATTGATAGATTTGTCAAAATTCTATTAGGAAAACTAAATCCTTGTATCGACTCTCATTTTCATTAAACTCATAAGCTTTCATTTTCCACTCAATACGTCATTGGCGAATTTTACCAAACCAAACAAAGAGAAAAAGAAAAAGAAGAAGAACTTTAAAATTCGAGCTGTCTATGGGCATGTTTTGAAAGCGAAGGATTGTAATGATGCTTCCTTGGTTTTCTGTTATGTTTTTGTTATTCTAATATTTTTTTAGTTGATTTCATCCTTCTTAATATATGTAGTACCCGGATGACCGAGCTTTGCTCGTTTTTTTTGAAATTACATTTAAATACAAATTACATACTGATGAATAATATTTTTTGATCTTATTGACCTAATAGAAAAAACTAAACTGGTTATTTGAATAAAAAATCATGAGTGCAATTAGTTTAATTAAAATTTTCGTACTTTTGAAAATATTAAAAAAAGGGCTCGAAATAATAGATTCTCTCACAAAATAAGGGAACAGGACGCGAGCCAAGGCATTACGATTTCACGACCGCTCGATATCCACTTGAGCTATTACAATCATTGACGTAGGGTCAAAATTTACCTTCTTATATTGAAGCAGTTTTTCATTGCCTGAAAACACGGACAAAAAGACATTTTCTAAAAATAAATCCTAGCTAGATCGATTTATTGCCCCCGACACTCCCTGGAAATTTTAAGAAAATCCTTGGAGCCGTTATATATATAGTAGCTTAATGCTGCTGTGTTTCGTATGGTGAGTGTAGAGAACCAGAGACCCTTTTTACTGGAAACGAGGCATTCTGTCTTAGTCTTCACGGGTGACAACGTATTTTTGCATTTCGAGGATAGATGTAGATGTCTATGGGCCACAGCAACCACTTACCATCAGGTGGACTGTGTGCTCGTTTGTCACCTTTGATTATACAGGTATATAATCAAAGTTTGTCACCCTATCCTATAAAAAAAATGATCCACGTTTAGTACTAATGCATGTTATCTGTAGATCAGTACAGGCCGAACACATATTATTATATTTCTTCACAAATAAAAATATCGAAAAATATAAAATAAAAAACATCTTCGTTGTTCTGTATAATTATGAAATGGTTTTATCTTAGCGTGACTTAAACCACGAAAATTATGACGACAGTGTGTGCTGTTTACATTGACCTTTGTGAGTTGCAAACTTTTAAACTGCTTTGACGTCAAACCACTAGCGTCGTAAACAAAGTATGTGTAGCCTTGTTAATTACCGCCTTATCTGTGTACTAATTGCCTGCTCGATAAGGAGCAACATACATTGAGCAGCACAGCGCTAGTCAAGTCGTTTTCGTTATTCATTTTTTATTGTTGGTTTGCAGTCATTATACGAGTCTATAAAGACGGAGCCTTTCAAGATACCCGAGGACGACGGAAATGATCTCATGCATACTTTCTTCAACCCAGACAAAGAGGGGTGGCTTTGGAAGCAAGGTGGAAGGTGCGTATTTCTGTTCGTAATTTTTTTTATAAGATGATCTATGTTACAAGAAAAATAACTTTGAAAGAAATGGTGTTTATTAAGTAAAATACTTCGTACATTAATTACTTTAATAAACATTTAAAAAAAATTAAAAGGAATATTAACAATGTTATAAACATTACTAATATTTCCCTTAACCACTCGAGGTAAGCTTAAATTGCTTGTGTTACGAGTAGTTCGCGCGAGTAGTCGAATGGCGGATTCGAACCCACGACCTTTTTGAGTTCGCGGTCCACGCCCTGCCATTAGGCTACTGTCGCTTAAATAATATTCATATGTGATTGAGTTAACCTAAACTTTTGTTTTTGGATCAAGTCAAAATATTAGAAGTGATTCCTTAAAAGCTCTTCTTAAAGCATAATCTATAATAACTTTTTAGAATTATTGATTTATGTGTCACATCATACATTACGATTACTGAATTGTACCTCGGAGTGTCAGTTTTTGTATCAGTTAGTAACTATTTTGCCTTTACTATTAGTCTTTAATCAAAATATATATGTATTAATTTTAACATGTTTGTTGAAATTACAGATACAAGTCATGGAAACGACGCTGGTTCATTTTAAATGATAACTGCCTATATTACTTCGAATATACAACAGATAAAGAGCCGAGAGGCATCATTCCACTAGAAAATATATCTGTAAGTATTAATAAACAACCAACTATACGTTTAAAACATTTCTAACTACTAGTAACTCTGTTAAAATTACCAATAATTATGTTAATCAGTCATAAGTATGCTGATAATCTTGTGTTAAGTGTGGTTTACCATAATAGTTTTATGTTTCAATTCGCACCCACAAGTCTAAGCTTGCAGTTCCAACCCTAACATTAGGCTACTGTAGCTTAATATTTTTTATGTTTAACAATAATAAATTGTTTATACTTGACAAAACGAAAATACTTGACTAATTTGAGTTACAATATGTCGACCTTTTACCTTAATGATAAACTAATTTTGATATTTCTCTCCGTGATGACGAAATCTGCAGTAAAAATACAGTAATGAACATAGCTTAACAGATGACCAAGCCAAGGACATTCATATAATATTAAAGGTGGATTAATTTTAAGGTATCCATCCATATTATATTCGAGAATAATCCTTTTTTTTAATTATGTGCGAGCAGCTATGCAGGTCTAGGGAAAGAGACCAGTATCACTGCGACCTAAAAGATCTATTGTGATCGCTGCTATGCCTATAGTTCACTGCTAAGCCCTATGTATTCAATGAATAGGAGTTGCTTAGCTGTGAGCAATTTCACTTCTTCTGGGCGGAGTACATAGTTTCCCTGATAAGTGTTACGTTTGCGCATTAAGGGTCCGTAATCAGTTAGGATGTGCAGAGGCGTTTCTTCCGTTAAGGAGAACCTGCACATCCTTGAGTTGCTTATTCCCAGGATGGACATGTGCTTTTTAAGACAACAGTGTCCATTTAGGGCTCTTGCCAGAATGCGCAATTTATTTTTACTTAATCCCAGGGCTTCTGAAGCGAATTTGCGATCAAAACCCCAGATCAAGTTTTTAGAATGTTTTAAGCCACATCTTTAGTGATTTATTGTGATAAAGAGTTTCAAGGGTCAATCGGGCTAGGCTTCTTGAGATTCCACAAAATGGCTCAGGTCCAAATTGTGTATACTTTGAGCCCTCTCGTGCAAATTTGTCGGCAAATTCGTTGCCTACAATACCCTCGTCACCCGGAACCCATCGTAAGACGACTGTTGTTACATCCCAGGGCGTTTGAAAAAACGGTTCACGCAGTCTACAACTAGCTTCGAGTTCACTAAGTTTGACCTCAACGCTAGCAGTGCTGCTTGACTATCAAAGTTTATATAAATATATACAATAATTCTTAAAGTTAATACAAATAATTCCATAATAATACTTTTACTTGAGATGAAGTATTTATGTGGTAGAGCCATGCTACACAAATGCAAGCATATATGAGTCGGCTCGACCGGAGTAGGTCCACGCTCTCACAGAATACCAGTGTAAAATGACAGCTCAACGCTGCTGTGTTCGTATGTGAAATATAGAAAACCGGAGACTCATTTTACTGGGAACGAGGCATTCCATCTTAGTCCCCACGGGTAACAACGCATCTTCATTTTGATTCTTATTTGAGGATAGATGTAGATGTCTATTGGTCACAGCAACCAATTACCTTCACTGTATGATGGACTGTGTGCTCGTTTGTCACTTTTATTCTATAAAAAAAATGAGAATAAAGTACCTGTACAATTATATACAATGCACTGCTGGCGTGCTGTTTTATTTTGTCGAGCGTCTTTAGTTTGAGTAGCTAAAAGTTGTCACACTTTCTCAATATATGTGTTGGTGGACTGCAAATGTTCTGGAAATATTTATTTTTTATTCTTTCTTAAAGAAATTGCGATTTCCACATGTGTTCACCTCCAAGAAATCTATAGTGCTTATCCCCAGAGCTACCTACCACTGCTATGATACTATATTTTTATCGGGATAAAATTTTTCATATTTATATTAATTACCATCTAATATATAAAATGAATGTTTCTTTGTTCGTTCTTATTTAATACGCGCAGCCAAACCGTTCACCATATTGCGGTAAAACTTTGTCAACTTATTGCTTGCATTTATGTGAAGTTTATAAAATTTGGGATGTGCAAGCATGATTTAGAAAGGGAATGGGGTGTATAGATTAAGTTTTTTCCTTGCGCATGATCGCGGAGAAGTTTTTGGCCAAAAACCAAGAAGTTTTTTGTGTGTTTCATGGACTTGGAAAAGGCTTATGACAGAGTGGACAGGGATGTGTTATGGCAAACGCTGAACTCATTTTGGTTGAGCGCTGGGTTTATACAGGCATTAGTCTCTTTATAGGGACTCTAGTGTTTGTGTTAGTATCACCGAAGCCTACTCGGACTCGTTTTGTATCCATAAAGGTGTCAGACAGGGCTGTGTGGCTTCCCTATGTCTGTTCCCTATTTATGAACAGTTGTTTGGAAAATTTGAAAATTGAAGAATGCCGGTTAAGAATGGGTGAGTTAACCGCCAAATGCCTTTTGTACGCCAATGATCAAGTCATATTTGCGTCGTCGGCGGCCGAGTTGCAAATGATGGTTACATTATTGAACAGTTCAATAAAAGGAATGAAAGTGAATGCAAATAAGACGAAAGTTATGGTTTTCGAAAGAGAAGAAAGTAAAACGATTTCTGAAATAAGAAAAGAAGGAGCAATTAGATGAGTTTGTATATTTGGGACATGTATTCAGCAGGGATAGGAAATATGATAAGAGTATAGAACGACGAGTGAACGCAGAAAATAAAGTAAAAGGGGCTCTACACTCTATTGTGAAGTCAGAATGTGTTAAAAAAAGTCACGTATGGCAATTCACAATGCTGTGTTAGTCCCTACTTTAACATATTGTAGTGAGAGTTGGGTGAGACAGAAGAAGCATGCGAGTAGAATAAACGCAGTACAAATGCGGTCGTTTAGGGCTGAATTTGAGTGACAGGGTAAGAAATTGTGTAATATCTTTTATCACACAATTTGTGGAGAGAGTGGCTTTACAAGATGATGTTGTGACCAGGTTAAGAAAGGATGGCTTCGGTGGTTTGGTCATGTAGAAAGAATGAATTCGGTAAGCAAATCTATGTTGCAGAAGTGAACCGAAGAGTCGGAAAGGGATGTCCTAGACGAAAGTTTATCGACCAAATTGGTGATATATTGCAAATGGGAAAATTAAGAGTACCCTTAACCGACGAGCAGGTATGCGTAGGTTTATGGATGTGGAGGAGGCGAGAGAGGTATGTCAGGATCGTGCTAAATGGAAGTCTGTAGTCTCTGTCTACTCCTGTGGGTAACAGGCGTGAGTGTTTATATTTTTTATATGGCAGTGATGCGCCATGTACCAGCTAGTATGTTTTAAAATACTGTTTGTTTTACAAAAAGTGCCTCGTTATTTTCAGGTCCGTCCAGCAAGCGACCGACAACGACCGCACTGCCTTGAGTTGTACGCCAGTGGTGGGGCCGATCTCATCAAAGCTTGCAAAACTGACTCTGAGGGTAAAGTCGTCGAGGGAAAGCATACTGTTTATAGGTAAATATTTTATTAATCTTACATAAATACATACCAAAACTCTCAAGATTGTCACCTGGGAAGGGTAGGCATTAACTACGAACATTTAACACAAATCTGACACACCTCGCAAATTTTACACATCAAGATATCTAATATATAAGAATTAATATTTGTTATGTGCTACCATACCGTTCATCAGATTGCGTAGTAAAACTTTGTCAACATATTGGCTGTGTTTGGCAGAAAAAAGCGCTAGGAAGCGCTCGAAATTAAATTCATATTAACCTGTTTTTAGTAGTTTTTTAAATTTAAATTTAAATCATACGATCGGAATTTCAATTGTATTAAAAGTGTCTCGAAACTAGTGAGAATTTCTTTCTCAATTTAAAGTAATATACAGCGAATGAATGATTTTGATTCTTAATTATTAAGGGTAGATGTAAATTGTCCATGGGCCACACCGTCCACTAACCATCAAGTGAATTGTATGCTCGTCTGTCGTCTTTATAAGAAATCATTTTAATATATGGAAAAATATTTATGTTTTTAAGTGACTCTTTTTAGGAGAATAAGCAAGTTTGATTTATTGACCCATGGCGTTGAAGGCGACTTTGTTTTTACTGTCGCGTCACGGAAAGCGATGCTTAAAATCTTATAAATTTATCCATAATCTATTATTTTCTGTTTCTTTTAAAAAATATTACTAGTTATGTAATTAAGATTACTAAGCGCTCTCAAGCGTCCAGCCCTCGCGACTGATTTACCCTTTTACGTCCGAATACGCGCGGCCGTAATTCGGCTGCTACCGTGCTTTAATATAGTATAATAAAACCCATATAGCTACTTAATAGATAGAATAGAGACAAAAACTACTAAAAATTGACTTCTATGTATGTTTTAAAACCCAAAAAGATATTAAAAATAGTTGTGAACCATGAATTTGGAGAAAAATAAACGTATAAATTTTATTAATTTACACCTCAACGAAGAAATATTGTATTTTTTACCCATAAAATAAAGTCACAACAAATAGACGTATTTTCCTTTTTCTGATGCATATATGTTAATATTTAATTAGCGTTATGTAATTAAATAAATCGAAACAAAACACCTACTCCTCGTAATTTTACCGCGATGCCTCGAGCGCTTTGGACTCGCTCGCTAAGCAAGATGGCCGCCTATTTAAGGTCTCATTATACACTTTGTAATTTACGCAATTTAAAAAAAGTTAGTTACGAGATTTTTTTAAGTTGGGGTTTTAAATTAAACATCAATAATAAAGTTAATTTACAGTTTATTGAAATAATAAAAAAAATATTTTACAAATAATAGTATTTTATTTAAAACTAAGAATTGATTTAATCTAAATATTTATTATTCGATTCAAACTTAATGGCGGTTCGGAAATTAGCTGCGAGTGCAGTTGCGCGCAGGTACAGTCAAGTTGACAAAAATTTAGGCTCAATTTAATTATTTTAATAATTGAAAGTTTTGTGTTTTAAGTTCTGTACATATAGTACATAAATTTCAGTTAGCAAGTATGAGGAGATGATTAAAACTACTTTTACGGATTTTATCGCGTTTATGTTTACTTTTTATTTTTAATTCCCGACGTTTCGGGCGCTTTCCAGCACCCATGGTCACGGGGGACTGAGATGACTGACGTCCCGATGTCATTGTTAAACCCGGAGTACCTTCAGCTTTTTTAACAATAATTAAATATTAACAATAATTAAAAAAGCTGAAGGTTCTCCGGGTTTAACAATGACATCGGGACGTCAGTCATCTCAGTCCCCCCGTGACCATGGGTGCTGGAAAGCGCCCGAAACGTCGGGAATTAAAAATAAAAAGTAAAAATAAACGCGATAAAATCCGTAAAAGTAGTTTTAATCATGTGCAATGTTCGCGTAAATATAAGAAATCATTAAGTATGAGGAGGGTTCAAGGAAGAAAAATACAGATGAATTAGGACCCTCATCCTTTTTTGAAGTCGGTTAAAAATAAAACAGATTTTATAAACAATATATAAAGTTTTTATTTTCATTTTAAGTGAAGGGCTGTATCCCTTCCATAAAAACGTCTTTGCTTGTGGAAGGAGCTTCCATGGAAACATCACTTCCTTCGTCTTCGCTGGAATCTGATTCCTCCTCAGACTCGGTATCTGATTCATCTTCACTGACATGGATTATAAATTCGTCCGTCAATCTATCAACGACAACGTCACTTTTTTTGTACTCTTCCTCTATCTTGATCACTTTTCGGCAATGCCTCTCCATTTATTTCCCCCATTTCATTAACTTTTTGCTGGACCAATTCCATGACTGAATTTACGTTCCAGTTAACGTTTTTTTTTGCGACGTATTGTTTTATTGCTGCCCATGCCATCTCGATTGGGTTTAAATCGGGGTGGTAAGGGGGGGGAGGCGTAAAACTAAGTGGTTATTCTCTTTCAATATTTTATCGATGTTAAATTTTATGAAGCGTTCTTTATTCTTCGCAATTAACTTGTATAGTTGTGGCTTCAGCATAGTTTCCTCAAATTCAATATTTTTTTCACGAAGCCATGATTGCATGTCTGCTTTTCTTGAGTTTGAGGTAGGTGCAGGATCTTCTTGTTTGTTGTGATAAGAAACATTATCTACAACAACGACTGAATTTGCTGGCAAATTTGGAACGAGTTGATTCTTGATCCATTTTTCATAATTTTCATAATTCATGTTATCATGATAGTCGCCGGTTTTTGTACCCGCCTTAAACATTAAAAGTGCGTTGGGTACAAAACCGGCTTCAGAACCCGCGTGCACTATTACAACTCTTTGACCCTTCGAAATTTTCTTTTTAACTCCCATTTGTGACCCATCTCCCCAAGCCTTTGACATGCTGTGGGAAGAATCGACATAAGACTAGTCGGTATATATAATGGGTCTGCCTTCCGAGCGATATTTTGTAATACTATGCAAATATTCAATGCGCTGTAAACGAATATGCTCTATTAATACTTTTCTCTCATTTTGGCTGTTCTTCCATTGAAACCCTAATTGTTTCAATATTCAGCCTAAGCTGGTTACAGAACCGTTGAAATTTATGTCGTCTTTTAATTTTCTTTGTAATTGTTTAAGTGTTGGCAACTCTTTTTCGGTCACGTAAAAGTTGTGCACGCACCTTTTGATGACACCTTGGTCGAAGCTGGTCAATATTCGTCATTCTCTTGACTCCCTTCCTTTTTTTGTCAGGTGTACGAAAGACGGCTACCATCTCCCGACTCATTTGCTGTTGCAGCTATTCTTTGTACAGTCCTTAGTGAGACGCCTGTAGCCGCTGCGGCTCGTTTTTGAACGAGCTTCAGAGGAATTTGGACGCCGTCTTCACTCTCCTTTTTCATAAATTGCACGACATTATACACCATTTTTCTGGATTGCCTGCGTAAAACGGTATCGTCCGCGAGGCATATTTAAACAAAATAATAAAAGTACTTTCCCACAACCAACAACAGTCTAAAACTTAATGTGTGTAACACACAGATGAAAACAAAACAGTCAATAACAATAAAAACTTAACGGAACAAAAACAAACAAAAAAAAAACGCAACAAAACAATTAACAAACAGTAACAAATTATGGACTCAATTGTACGTAAGCAGGAGTGTACGTAACTCAAACATTAAAAGCAAACGCGTCGCGTGAGTGCGTATGAGACAGAGGGTGCGCGGCAGCGCGCGCGGGGATGTGCCCCGCCACCACGTCCCTCTACATCCCGCTGATACCCAAAAATTGTGTTCTGCGCATCGGAACGTATGATGTTCCGAGCCGCCATTAAGTTTGAACAAATGTGTACAAAAAAGGACTAAATGTCAGTCGGTCATATTTTTGTCGCGTACCAATCTGGAGGCAATGGTACGTCAAAAGCATGCTAACTAGGTTAGCATCTCGCCATACGATTACCGACAAATCGGAAAGCAGCTCGCCAATACTTCACCTAGTCTTAGCTCTATCATTGTTATTGTTTTTAAAGAATCGGGAACCAATTCCCGATTCAGTCGTAAAGTCCCAAAGCAGTCTGTTTGTTGTCGTTTCAGACACCGCGCTAATAATGGGCTATTGTAAAAATTGTCCATTATTAAATACGTTGGCACCCGTGAGGACTAAGATAGAATGCCTCCTTTCCAGTAAAAAGGATCCCCGGTTCTCTACACTCACCACATGAAACACAGCAGCATTAAGCTACTATTTTACGCTCGTATTCTGAGAGTTCGTGGTCCTTCCCCGGTCGAGCCGACCCATTCGTGTTACAACTATACTACTAATATAACTGCAGCATGGCTCTACCACGTATAATTTTTTTATATAAAGTGAGAAAAACAAACTATACGAAAGTAGTTTTTATAAAATACAAAAAATCTAAAATACATCCTAACTTGACATGGTCCACTCCCACCTCCAGTATGAACCCCTTGGCTTCTATGACTTCCACGAGCCAAGTTAGTATCGGTTGGTGATCTAAAATTGTTGTATGTATTAATTTAAACCATTAATATCATCAAGGAAAAAAACAATAATAATCGTTTTTTTTAATAATAACCGTTTCCTACCAAGGATGATACGCGAGTCTATTGAAATTAAAAAAACATCCAAATTTCAATAGACAAGATGGATGGGTGCTGCCAGCTGCTTGGGATCCTATAATTAACAAAATTAAACCCGAACCCAAGCATTTTGTAAATTATAGGATCCCAAGCAGCTGGCAGCACCCATCCATCTTCTCTATTGAAATTTTGATGTTTTTTTAATTTTACAAATTAATTTTACAAAATTAAACCCAAACCCAAGCACACCACTGCAAGACTTCATGATACTATAAGCTCGTTTTGCGTAATTCGGACCAAATATTAATATTCAAAAACTGAAGGTAGCCGGACTAACTATGACATTGGGACGTCAAACATCTCAGTCCCCCCCGTGACCATGGGTGCTGTAAAGCAATCGAAACGTCGGGATGATAAAAATAATTTAAAAAGTAATTAAACGCGATAAAATCCGTAAATAATAGTTTTATTCAATGTGTAGTGTTCGCGTAAATTTAAGGAATCATTACAATAATAATGTGTTAAAGAAACATAAAAATTATGATTATGATTTAGAATCATTATAAATTATTACGAAATAAAACTCAAAACCAGCACCACCCAAGACTAAGACCGCAAAAATAACAAAGCAAAACATCTGGCAAACATATTTTGCTGTTTGTACTGACCCTTATTTAGAACTATTGTCGTTATATCCCTGGATATAAAACTAGCCACAACAAAAAACCTGAGTAACGCACTAACATTTTTAACGAATCTTCAATGAATATGGTTTATTTCTGTTTGGAAAGTTCATTATTATGTTTATTACGAACTAACACTCGTTTGCTTATATATAATTTTACTGAAAAACAAAGTAAACAAAAAGAAACTTGGGAGCGGCCATTTCTTTCGAAACAGCTATACTTTAAATTTAAAATAAGACTCGATTTTACACTCAGAACTGTGATATGTATACGTAATTATAAAGCATAAATCATCTAGTTTATTGTGACGTATAATATTCTAAGTAATATTAAATAAAATTAAAGTTCTTACTACAAAATCGTTGACACTCCACAAGCACTTGTTCACAAAACACCGAGAGTAGAGTAGAATGTTGTTAAATAATTGTGGTTCATTCGTTAAGGCTTGTTACACTGCCATCACGTTTGTAATACGTAAAGTAGTTCGTCAGCTATCGATTCCAAAAAACAAAACTTACAAAAATTACCGCAAATGTCCCTAGATGTCATTTTTATAAAACTTGACGCTATGGCTACTTCACTATCCGGGACGTACATCGCTACTTTTGTTTTGGCTAGCGTAGTAGCCTTGGACGTTTGAGTGGCTAATATGGTTGTCAATCACTACATAAGCGTAAACTGCTTGTGTTTGAAAGGAGTGATTTACGATAGTAGTCGAAAGGCTGATTCGAATCCCCCATTTCTCAAGTGTAAGTATGCTGATTCCCTTAATCATTGCACAAAGACAACATCAGGATGATGTCGCTTTATGACATTATGCTGCATCTTGGACCTGGATCACTAACGAAAGATGAACTTTTAAAAAATGCTGTTATAGTTTGATATCGTCGATTTCACAATAAGATTGGAAAGTAAAATGCTATCATTTTAACGACCGTTTTGTTGCAGGGTAACTATTTTGTAATATAATAAAGGTGACAAACGAACAGTATTAAAATGTTAGCAACAATTTTATATAGGATGTTAATTTGCGTCCATTCTGTATAAATATAATGTTTGCCGTAGAAGTGTCATCTCATTCTTGGGTAATGAGTTGCTCGTGCCAATTTTTTTATAACATATAAATAACAAACAAGTACTGTAAGGTGAGAGACCACTGATGGCCACTTTTTAAGCTTAATTCCATGGAGGCTTAGAGGTGTGTTGTTTCTGGCTATCACCGTTAAGCACTAACCACCTTGTTTTCTATGTTATTTAACGACAGCTAAAAGCAACCTCTTTCTTATGGAACCTTACTCGATAGACTGTTAGCGGAATACAGTGTTTTGTATGTAAATTGATAAGTTTATTTTATTTTTTTCAGAATGTCAGCTTCAACAGCCGAAGAGCGAGACGAATGGATCGAGTGTCTCCGTCGTTCAATTAGTCACAATCCGTTCTATGACATGTTAGCACAACGCAAGAAGAAGGCCCAACACAACATACATTCGAGCTCACACTAGTCTTTTACTACCTTAAAAACTATCCTGGTGATACATATGTTAGGATTGTGTTAATTGCATATCTATTGATATGCCTAAATATCATGATGATAGCAATACAAGTCCGTTTAATATAGTACTGAAAATTTAGTAAATCTAAGGGTGTGAATTGCGAGGGATATGCGAGTCAATTTCAAATGTCAAACGGAGGTGTTTTGTGATATATACTGTAAAATGGCAATCGTCCTTATAAATATTTTGTACAGTGTATGTATAGAGAAATAATAAGGTATTCGAATTGACTCAAGACTTTGTTTGTTGTAGGAGGAAGTGCACAAAGTTTGCTATTAAAATGTTTTTGTTACAATGATTAAATATCGTACAGTCAATTGTTTTATGTTTTTAAAATCAATAATTCAAAGGAACTTATATGGTGATTGTTGTCCTTTGAAGCGTATTGACACTGTCGACAAATTATGAGTCATTTCGAAAGGATATTTATTATTGACAAGGTAGCAGTCCACCAGATGGTTAGTGATATTGCAGCTTGTGGTCACCTGCAAATAACTTTAATGTAAGGAAACCAATGGGATGCGTTGACACAATTTAGGAATCCGATGAATGGCTTGCAGTTCATACCATATTTATATTGGTTCTCTGACCGTTCACACCTGATTAGTAGTCAGTTAGTCTTCAGACGGACTTCTAAGTTATGTGAAGGTGTCTGGAAAACAAAGAAAGAAGAAGGATGAAGAAAAATAGATGTGCATAACGTAAGGAAGACTGAGAACATGTGTGTTAAAAACAGTTCACACAACATTTTATTATACGAAGGAATATAAACTGTCGTCTTTATTTGGTTTTGATATTTCCGACTCGTTTAAGAGATTAATTGAACTGTTGCAGTTGTATGTAACAGTAAATCTTGGAATAATATAGTCATAAATTCACACAAGAAGTGCCTGTTTGTATCATATGTGAATGTGATCATGTAGATGCGTAAAAAATGAGAATAATTTTATATCATTTAATATTTTTGCAGCATGGGCGCATAATTTGCTGCACACGCAGTCATGAAGAGTGGCGATTGTTTTTAACATGATGTCTAAAAATGTAAAAACAATCGATTTTTGAACTCATAATGCTTTGAATTAAAAGAGTGGTATATTAAAGAATACCTGTACCTGCCCATGTTCGAATGTTTTGTGAAAATCGCCAAATGTTATTATGTAATTTATGTACCATTTACAATTTTTGATAATTTGCAGTCTGCAAGGTGTTCAAGTTTTTTGATTGCGGTTTTTTGGAAATGTTTTTATGTAATTAGGTGTATGTGAATATAGCGGTTGCTTCTCATTGCCTTGACAATAATTTGTTTGTATGGTTTGCCGGCTTGTTGGCCTAACCTTCGTCTTATGGGTTCAATTTTGTACAGTAAAATAATAGTCTAAATATGTATTAATCAAAAGTATTACTTTACAGTAATGTATCATAAATAGATTAGGAATTAGTATTAAATTGTTATAGTTTATGATTATAATAAATTTAATGTAATATAAAAAATAGGCTTTACGCCTCTTATATAAGTGTAAATACGGCTTAACGTTAATGATAGATGAAGCTACAAAATTGATAAATATATAGCCATACAGATCCTTTTTTTTATCAGTATATTAAAATTTTATGTGCAGGTCGATATATAGCTATGTATATTTATACTACAAAATATTTTATCCTAATATAATATATTATAATAGCTTAATTTAGTTTCTTTAACTGCCAATTAATTGATTTTTCAATCTCAAAATTGGATAAATTAAAACATTCGATTCGATAAATCTAAATTACGCAGCTACATTTTTATTTAGAAATTTTCTATTTGACACCACCGTTGTTATTATTTCCAGTAGCTTAGTCGACGTTTCTTGCATAGTCGATCTCACGCTTGCAGTGTCAACTTTTCTTGGACGTGTCTTTTTACGCTATTTTAGAAATTTCCAATTACACCTGGTATCGTCTCGTCGTCTTGCCTCTTTAGTAATTTTATTCACTCTATGCGGTAATTATTTAAATTCAATGAAAACCTATTTATAACATATTTCTTTAAATAATTTTTAATGTTTCTAGCAATTTCGATTTTTCTATTTTACATTTCCCAGTACTGAAATTAATAATTTATTGAAGTGTTATAGTAACCGTGACAACACAATTGCTGTGATATGCAGTATGACCATAGAATACTATAACACACAATAGAATGGCTGTCAAACTTATTTTGTACGAGATTCGGCGTCGCTGGGAGCACACATACAAGCCATAACATCGTATTATCACTACTACAAACCCGATTTGCTGTTTTGACAGACTGAGTAAATTTACACATTTTAGACTTTTGATTAATGTTCAAAATCATCATTAGAAAATCGTTTAAATTTTAATACATATTTATATGTAAACAGTGTGCAATTGGGTATTTTCTAAATCTTTCATGCAAAATTTGGAAACGATTGTTATGTCAAAACACACACACAAACACACACACTCGTGTTGACATTTATACGTGTGAATTGACATGTTAGTGACATTTAACTGGCTACACAGGCTCCGCCCACTCCCACGTTCTATTATGTATGTATTATAGTATTCTATGAGTATGACCAATTTACTTAAATTTTGCTTGTTTTCAAGTAACTACTCTAAAATACAATTTTGTTTGCCTGTATACAAAGCATGTATCTGTTATCCAGATCTATCTGAAATATTTATTTGATTCTGATTTATTTTAGTAAACATTAAATATATTACATTATTACGTTTTCGTATTTGAGATATTTTTGGTTTGTTTATAAGAAAATATATACTGTAATGTTTATAAGTAAATGCGGCGTAAAATATCTTTATAATTTATTTTGCTTCTCTATTTAGTAGTGTTCTTGAGAGACTAATTTGAGACCCTGGTACTATTAGATATCACTATATCACAGTCTTTTTTAAAGAAATATATAATTATTGATATTTTAATAGTCTGGATACGTTATGCGGCACGACAGCCAATAAGCGTCCCATCACTTCAGCGATAAATGCAAAGTAAATACTGTGCAATGAGAAAAAGAAATGAGATTTATGTATCCATACTTTGAAATATCGTTGTATTTACTTAGTAGCTGTACTAGAGAAATATAATGCAATCTATAATGAGCCTAATATACAAATATTTTTTGGGATAGTATTTTTTTCTGTTTTATAATTGTTAAATATGCACGCATCGTTTTTAATATATAATTACGATCTCATACATCCTAAATATATAATTGTAACAATTTTATTGTTCCATAAAACCTAGCTACATAAATAATATAACACCAATATGTAACGATTTGTAATTATAAATATATTTAGCATAGATAAGCGTGATTATTTGTTCTGTAAATTTGCAACAGAAATTTTAATTTATCTCATTTGTAATGGTTATATATGATATGTGCATAATAATGTTCTTGTAAATAATTTTTTAGCGAAAGGAAATACAGTTATATCTATATTTATTAGTTCGTTTTTTTTTTCAATATTTCAACTTTATGTAATACATAACATTTACGTATTTTTTATTCCCGACCTTTTGAATACTTAGCAGCACCCATGGTCACGGGCAACTAAGGTAGTTACACTGCATGATGTTATAGTTTTTGATCTGATCAATGCAGAATAAACTTACTGTATATTGATTGGGTTTGGGTTTACTGCAGATCTGCAGTCTGTGAATATGTTCAAGATCCCCTCGCCATTACTCCTGATTTGATAAATCACAAATTCCCACAAAAAAGCAATGCATACCAAGGCTAATTCAAAAAGCTATTAAAATAAAAAAAAATTGAAATTTGACATACACCGTCTTACAAATTAAACTTAAAATTATTAATTTTTGATCCGATCTACACAGAAAGACAGAGTATCTTGAAGTCTTACAGTGATATGTTTGGCTTTAATAAATTTAATTTTATTAATTATAGGAACCCAAGCAGATGGTAGCACCCAGTCATCACTGGTGGATTTAGGATGTCATATGATTTCAATAGCCTCGTGAATTATCCTTGGTGTTCTTTTGCGAGGATTTGTGGTTTATCAATAGTGATGTTAATGGCCGTGGTGATCCAATAGAGATTTATGCAATAGAGATCACAATCGCAATCAAGCTTGTATACTCCTGTGATGGATATTATATTTGACATATGGTAAAAACTGACTTAATCTTCTTCGGTCGCTTGAAGTTTGTGTTGTTTTAATAGAAGCTCGCTTCAAGATGTAGCCATATGGTATAGCCTCTAACATAATATGGTAGTACAGCAGGCAACCGCTTCACTATAGCCGGTTTAACTTATTCACTGTTAAGTAGGCGCAAGACCCGAAGCCTGTTGTCGTGCAAAACTTGCTTGACGTGTTGGAGCTCGGCGGCCATGTGTTTACTGTCACAGGCCCACAGATCCCCCTTGTTCTTTGAAATAAAGATTTTCACACGGTTGCTAACCGTGAAGAATGGTGGGGAGATTCACTGTTTAAATATCTGATGGTATAGGTCTTTTTTCTATACATAGTGTGGTTCACGGAGTCAAAGGACGGAATCAGGACTCCAAGTTTTAATTATGTGAAATCAATTTAAGAGTTTATGGATATCTATAGGTAGAATTGTGAAAGTATTAGACTTCAAGATACTATAAGTTCTTTCTGCGTAGATCGGCCCAAAAATTAATAATTTTGAACTGAACGTAGCTGTGCTGTGGTTCGCAAAAGAGCTATGCTAAAGCTAAAAAGGTGTAGAAGGATACTAAAATAACTAAACAGAAAGTGAAAAAGGATCTAATTTTACCAGGACCTTCAAAATTAACTACTGATAAGAAGAAAATAAAGCATGCTGAAACTAAAAGCCTCGGATCAAACGATACCTACTAGCTAGATGAAGATGCTATAGAAGACAACTCGGCATAATTACATTGTTCGTGGTTGATACTCCAAAATCTTGACAG